TTGGCATATTCTTACTATCACTGCTCAGTCAGCTAGACTGTCCTCCTGAAGAGCCACCCCTTCAGCATAGTAGTAAGAAACTGAATTAAGTTTTGCATAATTACAAAAAAAAACCCCAGTACAATAGAAAGGCAGAAAATATTCTTTCTTAGGCTCTTAGTCTTCATAGTGTCTTGGGTTAAGATCTGGAAACAAATGCATGTACTACAAAGTGTGCCACATCATGCCAAGTCCATGAAATTCTAAGTAACACAACCATGATTCACCTAAAACTCGACTGCAAAATTCTCTATCATACTGTTAGTGCTGGGTTTTACATTATTATTAAAATGAACACTTTTGAGTTAACACTAAAAATTAAGAATGGAAGCAGTCTCAGAGCAGTTCTGAAGCCCAAGCATACCAACACTCCACGTAAATAACATGCAGATAAAAACAAAAGAGCCCTTATCAGCTGACATTAGGATAATGCCTTTAACCAATGCCTTCAGCTTATTAACACTGTTTAAATCATAACTAAAGTCCCACATAACCAACTAATAAAAAAATGTGCCATTGGAGACAGGATGCAGGCTATCATATACAAAATGGTTCATTCTGTAACCTTTTTTCACCCTTTTCAACTTAGAGTACTGCTACACATTGTTCTGGGCTTCTGGGAAGAGGATGCATTTTAAAACACTATGCCATGCCTAGCTTAGTGCACCCCTATAATTCCAGAACTCAGAAGACTGAGTCCAACCTGGAAAATGTATTAAGACTCTATCTCAAAAAGGCAAAAATGGGGGCTGGAGAGATGGCTCAGTGGTTAATAGTATAGGTTGCTCTACCAGAGGAAACAAGTTGAATTCCCACATAGCAGCTCACAACTTTCTATAATCCCAGTTCAAGAGGCTCTGACACTCTCACATAGACATACATTCAGGCAAAGCATTGATGTATATAAAGTTAAACCATTTTTTTTAAAAGGCAAGAATAGCTGGGGATTGTGGCCCATGCCTATTATCTCTGTACTTAGCAAGAGAAGCAGAGTTCAAAGTCATCCGCAGATACATATTGAGTTTGAAACCAGCTTGGGCTACATAAGATCCTGTCTCAACAAAACAAAACAAAACCAAAAACAGACAAATTTACTGTTCACCACATGGTGGCTCACAACCATCTGGTGCCCTCTTCTGGCATGTAGGCATACATGCAGACAGAACACTGTATACATAATAAATAAGTCATAACAATTTCACACCCCAACATTAAATGTTTTCAGTAACATGTACCAAAGGGGAAAAGTATGATGGAAGGGCATCAAAGAGAGAATAGTGTTATCTTAACAGAACAGCCCTGTTTGAAGTGACTAAGAAGATAGGCAGGCTGGAGAGTGGTGGCATTCACCTTTAATCCCAGTTCTGGGGAGGCAGAGGCAGGCGGATCTTTGAGTTTGAGGCCAGTCTGGTCTATAAAGTGAGTTCCAGGGCAGCTAGGGCTGTTATACAGAGAAACCCTGTCTCAAAAAAACAAAAAGACAAAAACAAAAAAAAAAAAACAACAAAAACAAACAAACAAGCCAGGTAGGTGGTGTGTGCTTGAGGCACGAAAGCAGGGCAGCTGTGAGTTCTAAGCTCGCTCTGGTTACACAAGATAAAATGAGGCAAAAACAAACAAGTAAAAAAAAAAAAAAAAAAAAAAAAAAAACAAGACATACAGTTTCTGCATGTATGCCTGCAAGCTAGAAGAGGGCATCAGATCACATTATGGATGGTTGTAAACCACTGAGTCATCTCTCTAGCCCTTGTTTTGATTTTTTTTTTTTTTTTTTTTTTTTTTTTTTTTTTTTTTTTGACTCAGGGTCTCACTATACAGCCCTGGCTTTCCTGGAACTATGTAGACAAGGCTAATAACCTTGAACTCACAGAGATCCACCTGCTTCTGCCTCCCAAGCACTAGATTAAAGGTGTGAACCACCAAGCATGCCTGGTTGGTTGTTTTAAACATGGATCTTTGATTCTTTAGAAACAATACAGAAGCAAACTCCCAAGGCAGTTTCCACTCATCCTCATGGTGGGTGAACTCTCCTGCCCAAGCTAACAAGCAGCAACAATCAGGGTCAATCCTCAGTTAAGATCAGTAGTTACTGTGTCCACCCCCATTACTTCTTGATATATGGGTAATTAAAAAAAAACACTTAATATCCATCTCTCTTTTTCTGATAGTAAGAATTGAACTCAGGGCCACTCGTTCTAGTACTGAACTGAGTTACACTCTCAACCCAAAAGATGAAAAAAAAAAAAAATCTGAGTATAAAGACCATAGCAAAACTTGATGCACAAACAGCAGATGTTTTGATTTGCTATACTTTGCTTTATTCCATTACAATCTTACAAAGTCTAATTCCATTTCCTTTCTGGGAGGGATGCTGGGAACTAGACCTGGGACCTTGTGGATGTACTTCCTTCAGCAGATCCAAATGTTGCTATTGCTGACCCAATGGCTTGCATCTGAGTACACCAATAAGTTAAACAAGGTCATTCAAGCTTAACCTAAACTGTGCCTGAAAGCACACCCCTAAGCCAATGACTCTGGAGGTACCAAGTACTTACATTATGTCTCCAATTACAAAGGGAAGACGTGATGGGTGGTGGCAGTACACATCTCTAACTTCAGGACTTGAGAGGCGGATCTTTGTGAGTTCAAGGCCAGCCTGGTCTATGAAGTGAGTTCCAGGGCAGGCTCCAAAGCTACACAGAGAAACCCTGTCTTGAAAAAAAAAAAAAAAAAAAAAAAAAAAAAAAAAAAAACAACAACAACAACAAAAGGGGAGGCCTGTAGAGACTAGCTGGACATACCACACATGTATTTACTCTGTTTCAGCTATCTAATGATGGCTTTCAGAAGCATCCCAGTGCCAAACACAATAGCACATGCCTGGAATCTTATTACTTACTCAGAATTGTAACTGTGTGGGATCAAAGCAGACTACAGCCTTGGGTCCACACTAAGTGAGATTCTATTTAAAAAATGAGAACACACCACCCACCAACAAACAAAATCCAAACAGAGGCAATAACACCTTGATACATTTGGGATGTGATCAATTTTGGGTTTTTTTTTTTTTTTTATTTGTTTGATTTTTTAGTTTTGCAATGTAGCCCTAATTGGCCTGGAAAATATAAACTGAAATGTTTTTGAATCTTTATGTATCAGATTATTCTGAAAACTTCTGTATTTTTTGACCATTTCTTGTTCTGCTTCTTGAGATAGGGTTCTGAATTTGCTGGTGATAATGGGAATACAAGTATGTACCACCACACCTGGCTTTATTTTACTAAAGATTTGTAAAAGCAGAAAGTTTAGTAGGAGTCTATAGAAACATGCACCTTGTCCTGACATTTGAAGCTGAAGTTCTCAAGTAGGCTTTCCCTGAAGTAGACTAGGTAGACCTGGCTGGTCAACACCACCAACTTGCAAGCTACTTCAGACTATTCATTGTCAAAATTTTAATTTTAGACATTAAAATTTCATCAAAATGCAAAAACTCCCTTGAAAGAATTTTCTTTTCTCTGAAATATGCTTAACTATGAAAAGTGAAACTTTTTGTGGGGGAGGCTGTTGAGACAAGCCAGCCTCAAACTTTCAACAATCCTGTCTCTCTACTGGTAGTTCATAGGTTTAGCAACCATTTCAGGTGAAAATGTATCTTATAGCTCTAAAACTCCCTTGAACCAATGAAGAATTAAACCACTTAAAAAAAAAAATCAAACCATTGTTTTATATGGCTTTTTGATAATTGTTTCCTTTCAGTTTGATTCAGCACTCATTCCTACAAAGGAAGCCCAAAACATTAAGGTCTGAAGACTGTGACAGTACTGTGTGGGAGTCAGACATGTTAAAAGCATACTAATAAATCAATCAGCTTTTTGGTATTTTTTATAGACAGGGACTCTCGTATAGCCCAGGCTGGCTTAGAACTAACAGTCCTTTTATCTTCATTTTCCACATACTAACTAGGATTACAAGTGTGTGCCCCATACCCAACTTAAACAAGCTCTTTTCTAAACTGAAATATTTCTGACTTATTAAAAAATAACAATTTAAAACTCTACTGAAAACATTTTAGATGAGTATGAACAAAATGTGGTCAGAAGAGATTTCAGATTAAACCTATTCACAAAAGGAGATTTAACTGTACTTGTTTGAGCTGGGTCTTGCTGTCTAACCCATGTTAGCCTTGAATGCCACCTGCTCATTAGTTTTGGATTAAGGACAAGTGAAACCAAGCCCCCCCCTTAAAATAAAAATTTTGTTCTGTTTTGTGAGAAAGGGTCTTCTTGTACTGCTCAAGCTGGTTTGCAACTCTGTGGCCCAAGCTCACCTCCAACTTGTAATTCCTTCTGTATCACCCTTGTGATTGATTACTAGATTATAGGTCTGAACTATTCCCAGCCTAAAATGAAAATTTAAATGGAAATTAAGTTTGTTGGTAACTTGGTATCTCCCAGGTTCATGGGACAACAAATGATTCTTCATTATGTCAATGATCTTAAAGGAAAGGCAACTGAGCCAGGCATTGGTGGCACACGCCTTTAATCCCAGCAGTTGGGAGGCAGAGGCAGGTGGATCTCTGTGAGTTCCAGGCCAGCCTGGTCTACAGAGCGAGTTCTAGGACAGGCTCCAAACAATACAGAGAAATGCTGGGGGGGGGGGGGTGCGCAACTGTCTTTTAAAGAAGTCCATCAAGAACATCTCCATTTACCTGCTCAGCTACACATTTAACCATTTCGTACCAGCTTATTCTTCTCTTGCATGACTGGGGGTGAGATGTGGACATCTTTTTCTAACATGAACACAAAATAAAGATACACTAAATGTCACTCTCATGGCACCGCCTCAGTCTCCATATTTTATCAGGAGAAAAAAAAAGTAACATTTTTGTGTATGTTACTGACTATTGAATGAATACATGCTAAGAACATACTCTACCACTGAGTTACACCCAACTCAAGGTTAACTTTCATAGCAAATTTTCTATTGTTAGTTGTATTTTAACTACACAAATTAACTCTGTAAATAGTCTGTACTCCACTGAAAAAGAATGACTTTGGGAAAGAAGGGGTAAAAATAGCCAGTTTAACCAACAACATTTAAAAAGCTGCACTCTTTTACATTATGACAGTGTCTCAGAGACACTTTGACACAGAATGCTGGGGTGTTACACTGAGGTAACTGGGGGAATATTTATGGAGTAACCTGAAGACAGTTCGTGCTTCCAGCCTTCAGCATGGAGAACAGCTCCTGCTCCCGGTCTTAGTAGAGGGGCACAAGGAGAATTGTCCTTTTCTCAGAGCTATACCACATAAGCAATGTTAATCCCTGTTCACCTCTGTTCTTCTTTCATAGCTTTTCTTTCTTTTGTATTTCTTTGACTGCCATCCAGGCGCCAAACAGCAAAGAGACACAACAGATTTCCACTCATACAAAGAAGAGCATCTTGTGAAGGATACACAGAGAATGAAGGCATTTTTACATAAGCAGTATGAAACTCGCAACTGAAGCAGTGCTGACATCACATGGCAGTCCTGCTCACACTGCAAATTATCTGGAAGGGACTCTAGAGAAGTCTGGTGTAAGGGTTCGTGCAATTTATCATAAAACTGTAGAATCTCAAGCACAGGTTAAGTTCAAACACTGAAAGATTTCTTAAAAGACAATAATGAAGGAAGACCTTTCTTGCCTCATAAGTTAAAAAAAAAAAAAAAAATCACAAGACAGACTGTTCACATGGGCAGTACTGTACATTACCAATCCCAAATTATCACAAGACTCTCATCACACTCACACTCACTCACACACACCCCAACACCAGAGCACACTACTCCAACCACAAAAAAGTTTCCTGTTGTTCAGTATCCAACTACCTATGGCTATCAGTTTAGTCGGGCCTGGGGCTGCTTTTTACAGGGAGGGGGCCTCCCATGGCGCACAATGTGTCTTTCTAAACTGTCCAGAATGGCTATAGCAATCTGCTGGACGTAGGGGTCTGTCTGCTCGTGCTCTTTGATGTTGTACAAATGCTGCAGTCCTCCTTCTTCAATCAGCATGCTGCAATACCTTGAAGCTGAAAGAAAATAAGAGAACATTTCTCTTAAGGTGTTTATACGTTTTGAAGTTATTCCACAAACAACAAATTCTTCAGAGCTTAAAACAAAACAAAATGCATCAAAGGCCAGGCATGGCAGAACATGAAACAAATCTACATAGTAAAGACCCTGCCTAAAAATTCAAAAACAAAAAGCCCCTCACAAATCAGGGATCCTCTATCAATCTCTACTTTATTCCCTAGAATTTAGGAATCTTAAAACAAAAAAATATTCTTATTTTATGTGTATGGGTGTTTTGTCTACATGTAAGTCATGTCCCACATGCATGCCAGGGCCCAGAGAAGGCCAGAAAAAAGGTATCAAATCCCCTGAAACTAGAGTTACAGATAATTGAGTCACTATGTGGGTGCTGGGAATCTCAAACTCAGGTTCTCTGGAAAAGCAACTAGAGCTCTTAATTGCTGAGCTGGTATGATGGCACACACCTTTAGCTCCATCACTACAACAGACGCAGGAAGATCTACATGAGTTCAAGGCCAGCCTGGCATACACAGCGAGTTCCAGGACAACCAGGGCTACACAGAGAAACCGTGCTTGTCTTAAAAAACTAAAAAATGGCTTTCTGGAGGCTGAGGAGATGATTCAATAGTTAAGAGCACTTACATGGTGGCTCACAACTGTCTATAACTCCAGTTCCAGGGAATCTGATAGCAAGTAAGTGGTGTATGGACATACATGCAGGCAAAATACCCATACCCATAAAATAAAATTTAAGTAATAACTAAAAAAAAAAAGGCTTTGTGGAACTGGGTTATGTCAGTGGGCTTTTTTTAAAAAATGACTTATTTATTAATTAATTATTAACATAGCATTCTGCCTCCACATATGCCTGTACACCAGAAGAGGGCACCAGATCTCATTATAGATGGCTACAAGACACCATGTGATTTCTGGGAGTTGAATTTAGGACCTCTGAAAGAGCAGCCAGTGCTCTTAACCTATGAGTCGTCTCTCCAGCCCTAGCAGTGGCTTTTTTAATCCCAGCAATTGGGAAGTAAGTGAACCTCTGAGTCGGAGGCCAGTCTACATAGCAAGTTCTAGGCTAGAAAAGCCAGAATTACATAGTGAGACCCTGTCTCAAATAAACAAGCTCAGGGTTGAAGAGAAGGCTCAGTTCTAACAGGCACTTGTTATTCTTATAGAGGGCCCAGGCTTAGCTCCTAGCACCCACATGGTGGCTTACAACCATCCCTAACTCCAGTTCTAGGAGATATGATGCCCTCTCAGGTCTTGACAGGCACCAAGCAAGTGGATCTCTAAGCTGGGAGAGACCCAGTCTGATCTATACATTTCTAGAACTGCTTGGAAACACAGAGAAACTCTGCCTCAAAAAAACAAAACAAACAAACAAACAAAAAAAAAAAAAACAACTCTTAACAAAACCCCCATTTCCTCCAGGGTTGAGGTTACATTTAGTGAAGCGTTTTGTCTAGCATGTTCTAGGCATGGTGGTGCATAACCATCTCACCACTCAAAGTTGAGGGCTGCTGAGAGTCTACGACCAGTCTGAGCTACACAGTGAGTTCTATGCCAGCCAACAACCCTTTACCCCTGCCCTACCAAATGACTTTCTGTAAAGGAGATTTCACTTGAACCACGGTTCTAATTTTGGTACATACGATTCTTGCTGCAGACATGTTGCATGGCCCAAACTGCCCACAGCTGGACTCCCGGTGTTGTAAAACAGCCAAGTAGAGGGAAAAATGGATTAAAGGACCTAAAGATTCAAAATACAAGAATCAAAGTCACATTTTATACAGAGCATAATTTCTAAGCAGCGAGTCTTAATCTTTAAGAAAATACATGCCATTTCTAGACTGATCTAAAAGAACAATACCTGTTCTTTGTCATGGCTATTTCAGAAAGTACTGCACTGAGACACCACGGTGTACATAAAGGATTTAACATACTGTACATTAAGGTGTGAATCTTTCAAAAGCTTTTTATTCTTTTTTTTTCCATTGTTGGTCTTCCCCCTTAGATATCTATCTGAAAAAGTATGCTTTATAATTTAAAATTAGTTACAAGACAGCTGCGGTGGCTCACACCTTTTTGGGAGGCAGTTAGATGGATCTCTGTGAGTTTGAGGCCAGCCTGATTTCAACATTGAGTTCCAGAATAGCCAGGGTAATATAGAGAGGCCTGACTTTAAAAAAAAAAGGGGAGGGGGTGGTTGTAGGGGATCACCAAGGAGATAGAACAACTATAAATATATACTCAGAAAAGAAGCTACTACAGAAAACAACATAGCCTGAGTTACATAAGACCATGTTGTGTCAAAAAAATTTTTGAAAGATCTTAAAGAATAACCTAATGGTGTTTCAAACCCAAAAGCAGTGCATGACAAGAAACAATAAATAGGGATGGAAGTTATGAACATGGAGACTAAAAATAATGTGTAGAATCAAATAAGGAGTTGCTTCTTAGAAAAAATAAAATTGACAGTACACTTAGCCAAACTAACCAGAAGAAAGAAAAGACCTAAATTAATACAATTAGAGATTTTAAAGGTGTTAGAACAGACTACAATGAAGTTCAGAGAATTATTAGAGAACATTTAAATAAAATTATATTCCAGAAAATTGGAAAAATGGATAAAATTCTAAATGACCTACCAAAATTAAATGAAAAGGACATATACAACTTAAAACAGATCTGTAACAAGCAAAATGATTGAAAGTCTAGAGGGTTGAAGGAAGCCAGGATTGATGGTGAACCTTTAATACTCAAGAGGCAGGCAGATGTCAGTGAGCTAAAGGTCTGCACAGTGACTTCTGGGTCAGCCAGGGCTATGTGGTGAGGCTTGTCTCAAAAAATAAACACAGAAACCAACCAAACAAAACAAACAAAGCCAAAAGTGAATTAAATTCTTACAAAGAAAATTTAAGAACACATTTAGAAGTTTATGTATCATGACCAAGCTGGTTTTCATTCCAGAGATTCAGGATAGCTCAACATATGCACATCAATAAATATTATACAGCACATAAACAGACTTGAGGACAGAAATAACGAACATCTCAATCACTAAAGGCCTTTTACAAAGTTCAGCTTTCATGATAAAAATCTGAGGAAATAAGCCTGATAAAACAGGCCTACATAGGCTCATACTATACACCAAAGACACAGATGGATGGTTGGATGGATGGATGGGTGGGTGGGTGGGTGGATGGATAGATGGACGAATGGATAGATCATTTCCTTATTCAAAACCAGAACTGGGATAAGAGTGTCCACTTTCTCCACTGTTACTTAATTGAGGACTTGTGTTTTAGCTAGAGAAAAGAAATAAGACAAAAGGATGAAATAAATGAGGCATAAATGGGAAAGGAGAGTGTCAAATTATTATTATTATTATTTTGTTTGTTTTTCAAGACAAGGTTTCTCTGTATAATAAACATCCTTGGCTATCCTGGAACTTGCTCTGAAGACCAGGCTGGCCTCAAACTCATAGAGATCTTGGGAGTCAGTTCTCTCCTTCCACTGTGGTAGAGAGGATCTATCTCAGATTGTCAGGTAAGCTCTTACCCATTGAATCATCTCGCCTCTTGAGTACTAGCATTATAGAGATGAACCACCACATTGGGCCTTAAGATACATACTTTAAAGACCTTGATTTGTGAAGTAGGAAATGGAGACAGTCAATGATATCTTGCAGAACACCATAAAGAAGGTACAGAATTTGCTTTTTTGTTTGTATTGGTCTAAACAAAATGGGTTTAAAAACTGTTGAAGAGGGGCCGGAGAGATGGCCCCACAGTTAAGAGCACTGGCTGATCTTCCAGAGGACCCAGGCTAGATTCCCACATACCGGCTCACAACACCTGCCAACTCAAAACTTCAGAGGACAGATCCAATGGCCTCTAAGGGCACTGCATGCACATGGTACACAGACATATAATCAGACAAAGCAACCACTATACATAGAAAAAATTAAAACAAAATCTGAAAAACAAGACAACATGTATGAAGAAGCCAATAAAAATAAGTCATAATAAATTTATGCAGCAATGGGAATATTTCAGACAATAAGTTGCCTATCTTCCCACCTAATTAGTCATAGGCAGATTTAGCCTTCCAGAATGCCATTTTTGTTGTTTTGTTTCATTGGCTGCCCTCAAGCTTGCTGTGTAGCCTAGGACAACCTTCAACTTCACATCTTCCCATCTCCACTGCCCTGACATTAGCACTACTTCAGACTCAGACTGCCATACTTGGTTTATGTAGTGATAGGGATCACAAACCCAGGGTTTTATGAATGACCGACAGCACTTTGCCAAGCATATAACCCCAGGCTTCTTTGTCATCTTTAAACAGAGAACAAATTCCAGAAATACCTTCAATCAATATGGATAAAGGAAGGAATGTTGAGTGAACAGTAGAAAACAAATCAAAATACTTCTTAAAACCAAACTCCCTTGAGGCAGGTCTTGTCCTATAGCCCAGGTTGACCAGGAACTTGGCAATCCTGCCTCAGCCTCTTCAGTGCTAGGATCATACATTCCCATGCACACCATGAGCAGCTACTTTACTCAAAACCAGTACTATATGAGAGATACTTCAAGTAAAGATTACCAAAAAAATAACCAGATTACTTCATAATCATGCTAATTACCTGTATGCTACCATCTCACACTCTGGAGTAGGCCATTTCAAAATAGCTGAATGCTAGAAGACACAAGACACAGGATATGTTACAGTATTGATTTTTAACAATATTACCTTATAATGAAGCTTTCATACTATTACAAATATAAACATATCATTCCAGAAAATACCAAATGACCCTACCAAATCATCAAGAAGAGAATTCCTCTGGCTACGGCTCAAGGTCCATGCCTGTTCACCTCTGGATATTAAGTGGGCGATAATCCCAGCTGCAAAGTAACTGACTTCTACTTCCACACTGTGCAGGAGACTGCTGATATGGTCTATGAAATCCTTCCACATTAATTCAGAGTGTAGCTCTTGTACTTCAGCTATATTGTTCTGGAAGAAAAGGAAGGTATAAAAGTCTTATGCAAAGGAAACAGCTAAGAGAACTGTTTCAGACACTAGACAAGCACTAATGGTGATCAACAAAAGTATACAAGAAGGCATTTTGCAGAATGCAATAAAGGAAAGGGGAATTGTGGCAGTTAGTAGTAAATATCCCCCTAGTCTTGAATACATGAATACTTGGTCCCAAACTGATGATGCTGTTGGGAGGTTTAGGAAGAGTGGCCTTGTTGTATTAGTTTGTCAATGGGGGTGTACTTTAAGGTTTCAAAGCCTTGTACCATTCCCAGTGTGCCCCTTCTCATCATGCTTGGAATTCAAGATGTGAGCTGTCAGTTTCTATTCCTGCTGCCATCCTGACACTGGCTGCCATCATGGATTCTTTCTTTAAAAAACTTTTTTGACTATGAGTTCAAGGCTGGCCTAGGATACAGAGCTAGCTTCCAGTACAGCCCCAAGCTACACTGAGAAACCCTGTTTTGAAAAACAAACAAAACAAAACTTTTTTTTTTTTTTTTTTTTTTGAGGTTTTAAGCCAGGAGAAGGCATCATATCCCCTAGGGCTAAACTTTTGGATGTTTGTGATTTTCCACGTGGGTCTCCACCCAGGACTTGACCTCTGGTCTTCTGGAAAAGCAACCAATACATTTTTTTTTTCATTGTTTTTTTCAAGACAGGATCTCACTATGTAACCCTGTCTGTCCTAAAACTTGCTCTGCAGAACAGGCTGTCCTAGAACTCACAGTGATCTACCTGCCTCTGTCTCCCCAGTGCTGGGAGTAAAGGTGTACAACCCCCTACACACACACACACAATTCTTTTTTGTTTTTCAAGACAGGGTTTTTCTCTGCATAACTCTGGCTGTGCTGCAACTCTCTCTATAGACCAGGCTGGCCTCAAACACAAAAGAGATCCACCTGCCTCTTCCTCTTGAGTATTGATGTTAAAGAATTGTATCACTACACTAGGCTTGTTTTGTTTTTTTAATTTAAAAATTATATTTATCTATTTTCTATTGTCACTATATATACAAAAACAATACAACACCATCTTTCTATATTTTTGTTTGTTTGTTTATTTTTAAGGCAGAGTCTCACTACTATGTAGGAACTTACAGAGATTCACCTGCACTACCACACCCAACTTCCTTCCTTTCTTCTTTTTGAAACAAGGTATATAATGTAACCCTGGCTATGCAGAAGATGCTTTGAACTTCTGATTCTGCTGTCCTCACCCTTTATCTCCCAAGTGTGAGATTACAGGTGTATGTAATCTCATTTTTACACTTTATACTCATGTTTATATTTTCTTTTTGGGGGGGTTGGTTTCGAGACAGGGTTTCTCTGTGGTTTTGAAAGCTGTTCTGGAACCAGCTCTTGTAGACCAGGCTGGTCTCCTACTCAGAGATCCACCTGCCTCTACCTCCCGAGTGCTGGAATCAAAGGCGTGCACCCAGCTATATTTTCTTTAAATATCCAAAGTTATATGATGCAGAGGATGGAAACCAATTCTCATGCATGCTAGGCAAGTACTCTAACAATGAACCTATATCCCCATTTATTTTATTTACCTATTTATTTTGTGTGTGTACATATCTCACATGTAGAAGTCAGAGGACAATTTGCAGATGAATTTTCTTTCATCATATGGTTTCTAGGATCAAGCTCCTATCATCAGGCTCTGCATCAAGTATCCTTACCAACTGAGCAGCCTTGAGGACTTAAGTGGCAACTTCTAATGTGCACATTCAAACAGAAAAATAATTATGCCTTGGAATTAATCAGAAACAGTGTATAACTTACCAAAAGTCCTAGAACTTTTTGTTGAATGGATGACTCAGTTGGGAAAGACTGTATAAAAAAACAGAACAATAACTATCTAAAGAAACAAATATAATAAATAAATGCTTAAAGAAATCAACCACATCCAAACTGTTAAGTAAATTTCCATTCTAACCTCTAGAACTCTCATGAAGAGTTCCAACCCTTGATTTTCGATGAAGTGTCTGCATGTTGTTGGGGATTCATCTGTGAGGTTCCAAAGTGCACTCAAAGTAAATTTCAATGTAGTGTCCACTGAATTTTGATTAGTCTTCTGCTTCACTATTTGAAGAAGTTGCTAAGGAAGAAAAAAAGAATGAAGTTTTCATTATTGAATTGTTATCATAATTTAAGATTTGCCAATAAGCACATTTGCCAATAAGCTTAAAGCATCCCTATAAAGGATTTTAAAAAAATGTAAACTATATGTATTTATTTATTTAGTGTGTTGGGGGGGGGGCATCCATGCCATAGTATGTGTGTAGAGGTCTGAGAACAACTCATAGGAGTTGTGTTTTTTTCCTCCCTGTGAGTCCTGGGGATTGAACTCATGTTCATGGTTGGCAGGAAGCATCTTACTTACTGTGACACCTTGCTAGCCCTAGTTTATTTTTGTATTGTTTCTTAAGACACTCTTGCTATGCAACCCAGGGCCAGTCATCTTGACAAAAGCTATAGTCACTTTGGAAGAAAGACTCTCAAATGAAAAAATACCTCTATAAAATTGTAGGCAATTCTGTAGCCTATTTTCTTGATTAGTGATTGCTGTGGAAGGGCTCAGCCCATTGTGGTGTCCTTTCTGAATAGGTAGTCCTAGAGATGTATAAGAAAGCAGACTGAGCAAGCATTCTTCATGGCTTCTACATCAGTCTCTGCCTTTCCTAGATGATGAACTCTAAGCTGTAAGATGAAATAAACTCTTTCTTCTACAAGTCGATTTTGGTCATGGTATTGTATCACAGCACCAGAAACTTTATGACTATAGCCAAAGCTAGCTTTTAAGTCAAGATCATCCTGCCTCAGCCAACAATTCCTTACTCTGAGCCTTCATTTTTCCTTCTCAACTTTCATTTCTGTTTACAGAAAAATAGTATACAGTAAGGAACAGAAAACTGGATCATAAGAGTACTTGTTTATGTTCTCTCTCCTCTCTCTGTTCCTGTCTGAACATGTAGCCTCAAACTCACTATATACCAAGGATGACTTTGAACTTCTGTTCTCCAGCTTCTACCCCGCAAGTGCCACAATTGCATGCACATACTAAAACACAGGGTTTATATGGTACTGAGAATGCGAGCGTTCTCTTCACTCATGGAGCTATACATCCCTAGACCTCTGCTTGCTTGCTTGCTTTCCTTCCTTCTTTCATGTGTGTATATCTTCTTCTTTTTTTTAACTTTATTTTGATTTTGTGTCGTGTGTGTGTGTGTGTGTGTGTGTGTGTGTGTGTGTGTGTGTGTGTGTGTGTGTGTGGTGTGCCGATGAAATGTATGAAACACTGAGCTTCTGTGGTCAGAAGAGAACTTGCAGGAGTTGATTCTCTTCTCTCACCATTAGGTCCCAGGGATTGAACTCAAATCATCAGACTTGGTGGTGGTTGCCTTTACTGCTGAACCATTTCACTCACCTTGAACCAACTATCTTAATTAGTCATAGCATACCATTATAACAAAACCTGGGAAGAGGGGGTGAAGGAGACAAGACTAGTATTTATTAACTTAGAGTAAATAATACCTATAATACCTACAGTATCATTTTCCAAGGGGGTAAACTGAATATAAGAAATATTAAATAACTTGGTCATAATCAATTTGATAAAAGAATTAGAAGGCCACTGGGTGGTGGTGATGCACACCAATGATCCCAGCACTCGGGAGGCAGAGGCAGGTAGATTTCTGTGACTTCAAGGCCAGCCTGGTCTACAGATAAAGAGTTCCAGAACAGGTTCCAGTGCCACACAGAGAAACCCTGGCCCCCCATACCCAAAAATAAATAAATAATAAAAAAGCAAGAATTAGAGATCCTAATTCTAACAAATTTCAAGTTTTCTTTAAGGAAAAGAGGAACGGGCTGGACATGGTAGCTCACACCTGTAACACGGGAGACTGTGGCAGGAGGACTGTCACAATATCAAGTCCTTCCTGGGCTACACATACAATGATAAGGGAATTGAAGTTTACTCTGGGTATTAAGATGACAATAGCTTTGACATGTCTTCTTCTTTTTTTTTTTTTTTTTTTTTTTTGTTTTGTTTTGTTTTTGTTTTTCGAGACAGGGTTTCTCTGTGGCTTTCAAGGCTGTCCTGGAACTAGCTCTTATAGACCAGGCTGTTCTCCAACTCACAGAGATCCACCTGCCTCTGCCTCCCAAGTGCTGGGATTAAAGGTGTGCACCACCAATGCCCGGCATGAAACTATTGAATAAATTCATTTAGAAAAAGTGAATTAATTTAAAAAAAAAATAGAGAAAGGCTGGGACAGGGATGGCCTGTACTAGGAAGATGACTTAGCATTGTGAAGCCCTGATTTAGATCCCCAGGAACACATACACCTACACCCATACATATTCACGGAAGATATATCACACTACTTTTCAGGAAAAGAAAAGAGTAACTAACATCAAGGGCTGGAGAGAAGGCTCAGAAATTAAGAGCACTGATTAATTTTCAAGAGGACCTGGTTTAATTACCAGCACCCACATGGCAGCTCACAACTGTTTGTAACTCCAGTCCCATGAGATCCAATTCACTCTTCTGGACTCCATGAGCACAGGTCACCTCTACAAGGTGCATAGACATATATCGAAGCAAAGTACCCATACTCATAAAGTAAATACATTTTTAAAAATTAAAAGCAAAACCAAACAAACAAAAAACCAAAACACTATGCAGTATCCTAAAAAGAGGGAAAGTAAACTTACCCGGACAATGAAGAGCTCAGCACCAAGCTGTGCAGTTTGTTCTGTAGAAAGCTGGAAGCAGATATAAGATAAAGTAAATGTTCAAGTACTAATAGGTGTGAATTTACTGTAATTCACCATAACAGCCTCCAAAGCCAGACTGAAATAGCTCATTAGCCTCCAATTCTGCAATATTCAACACAATTAAATAAGCAGGGTAGCAAAGAGGTGTACTAACTTTTCTGGCACACAAACAGGAGTGACAGTTATAACTGTAATGAGAAAAAACTGCCTTTAGGAAATCATTCAGCAAAAATCAGGTACCTTGGCAGCCAGGATGGAAATGATAGCAACTGCCATTCTCTGCATGTTTTGATCTTCGTGATTACAAAGCCACTGCATGACAAGCTTGGCTGCTTCAAACCTGAAAACACAAGAGAGTTTCCTCAATCTTGGGAGATCCAGACACGATTTCAGGGAGCCAGGTGAAGGCTGATCCTACCTACAATTTAGTGTGTGGAAAGGGAAGGGAAGCTTTCTCTTAATGAACAGGAATAACAAATTATCATTAGTATTTTCAAAATGTTGCCTTTTTGGTTTCCTTCCCATGCTGGCAACTGGACTCATGGCCTTGTCTAGGCAAAAGCTCTACCATAGAGATATATCCCCAAACCTTTACCTTATTTTATTTATTTATAGTGTCTATTATTTTTATTTTCCCTACTGGTAGTATGTGTATGTTTATCTATGATGTGCATGAGTGTGCAGGCATGCTATGATATATATGTGGCCATCAGAGGACAAATTTTGAGAATCAGTTCTCTCCTTTCACTGTGGGTTCTAGAGTTGGAACTCAGGTGGTCAGGCTTTTATGAAAAGTGCTTTTTACCAGCTAAGCCATCTTGCCAGCCCTTAATTATGTCTTTATGAGATAGGATCTCATGTAGCTCAGGCTGTCCTCAAACTCTCTATGAAGCCAAGGATAACCTTGAACCACTGATCTTCCTGCCTCCACCTTCCATGTGCTGGGATCACTGGCATGTGCCACCATACCTGGCTCTTTGTTTTTATTTTGAGACATTCTCAGTAATTTGCCAGGCAAGCTTTGAACTTCTAATTCTCCTACTGGAATTATGATAGCAATGGCAGAGAAAAAGGAGCAAGGGGCTGAGCAGAAAGCTCGCTGGTAAAGTGCTTGCTGCACAAATATGAGGACCTGAGTTGAATCCCCAGCGACCATGTAAAAGAGCTAGGCATGGCAACGCATACCTGTAATCTTAACTCTGGGGAGGCAGAGACAGGAGGATCCCTGGGACTTGATGGCCAGCCCGTCTAGCCCACTCCGTGAACTCCAGGTTCAGTGAGAGACCCTGTCTCAAAAAAATAAGGTAAGGAGCAATTGAGGAAGACACCCAATGTCAACCTCTGGTTTTCACACTGATGCCTGTGCACATTATACACACACATACCAACAACACACACCCACAAAAATATACACAAAGACACAATAGTATAAAAACATAGTCAAAAGTGGCATTTTATCTTCTACAATGAAAACACTTCAGCATTTCAACATCATGGCTTTATGCATATTCCCTGTTAAAAACTTTTAAAAATTATTTCTATGTGAGTGTGTGAACACATGCATGTTCTCACACAGCATGCATATGGAGGTTAGAGAACAACCTGAGGGAGTCAAGTTGTCCCTCCTTCTACCAATGTGGGTCTTGGGGATTGAATTCATGTTGTCAAGCTATTACTTGCCTGTTAAATGGAACATCTTGAAGAATCCGGTCACTGCAGAGTGAGAGCAGGCAATTCTTCTGTAACTAAAGGATAAAAAGGAGAGAGAGAGAAAAGAACAAAACAAAACTAAAAAGAACATCTTCTCTTATCTTTTAGCCAAAGACAGTCTTTTAAAGAATATTTTTAAAATTATGTTTAGATGTGTGTGAGGAGAGTGTAAGCATGCTGAGTGCTGGAGACTGAACCCAGGGATCATGAGTGCAAGGCAAACACTCCAACTAAGCTCCAGCTAATTATACAACCAGCTCCAGTTACTGTTTTCAAATCCTGAAAGACACAAAATTTTTGTTCTTGGTTTGAGACAGATCTCTCAATTATGTGACTCTGGCTGTCTAGGAACTTGCTATGTAAACTAGACTGGCCTGGAATTACCAAAGATCAACCTGTGTCTGCCTCCCAAATGCTAAGATTAAAGGCTTGTACCACCACACCTGGTCATAAGTATGTATGTTCTTTAAACTAATTCTTTATAAATGCTATCAAGAATAAATTATTTCAGGAAAACTTTATAGTTTTAAGCAAGGGAATTCAATTCAGTTTTCTATCGGTATATTAAATTATGTTCTTTGAAAACCATTTAACTTTAAAAACATTTATTTTTATTTTGTGAGTGTTTTGCCTGTGTATATTTGTGCCCAGCATGGATGCCTAATGTCTGCAGAGGTTGCGAGTCTCCATGTTGATACTGGTATTAATATTCAGGCCTGTCCTTGGGGCTCGGACAGGATACGCCCTCAGCTGCAGCCACTGAAGAGCACTGCCTGTGCACAACAATCATTTCATTTCCTTTTAAAAGGACCCTGCCCACCTCCCACCCTTCTCCCTCTTTCTTTCTCTCCCTCTGTCTGTTCATCTCTCTCTCCCTCTCTCCTGCTGCTCTTGTCTCTGGGGACTAGTCTCTCTACTTTCCTTTCCCCTTTATAATCCCTTCCCTAATAAAAATAAAAAAATAAAAAAAAAAAACAACCAACCAACCAAACAAACAAACAAAAAACCCTCTGCTTGATTGAACCTTGTTTCATGGAGTCTTTCTCTTGCCTGCTGCTTTTCTTAAATTACAACAACTGGGAACCAAACCTGGGTCCTCTCTAAGAGCATGTCTTGGCCACTAAGTCAATTCTCTTATATGCAGCCCAGGCTAGCCTCTGACTTACTATGTAGCTAAGGATGACTTTGAACTTTTAGTCTTCCTGCTTTTACCTCTGAAGTGCTGGGATTACAGGCAAACAAATGTAAGCCCTACTCCCTGGGAAGGAACTCTGGGCTTTGTATATTCAAGGCAAGCATTCTCTCAACTGAGCTATATTCTTAGGCTCTGGTATTTACACCTCTTAGGATGCTTTCCTAGATTTCAACGGTCCTAACTGCCTCTCTTAAGCTCCCAGCAGTACAGTACTACTTAGCTGAACTGTCTGGGAGAATAAAAAGTAGACTTCAGAGCTTTTAGTGTAAGGCAATATTTCAAAGAGCAGGTTATATTAGAGCCATTATCTTGAAAAATGGTTAGGAAAAGCAGTGGAACTATTATGAAAATAGGTAGGCCACTCTAAGGGCAAGCAGCAGCTTGTGAACAGAGTGCAGGAAGGACAAGCATTAAAGATTGGGAACATGGCACTGGCATGGATTTTCCCAGTTAAGCAGACCAAATATGAAAATCCAAAATCTGAAATAAGCAACTAAGGCCAGATGGTGGTAGTGCATGTCTTTATCCCAGAACTCAGGAGGCAGAGGCAGGTGGATGTCTGTGAATTCAAGGCCAGCCTGATCTACAAAGCTAGTCCCAGGACAGCTAGAACTACACGGAGAAACCCTATCTCAAAAAGAAAAGGAAAGAAAAGAACAGAACAGAAAAGCTCTCTGAGCATTCATTGTAAAGGTATCAAAGGCCTCGGATTTTCAATTTTGACATTAGGGCTCTTAGGCTGACTTTTTTCTTAGTGCTTGCTATGCTGTGCTACATTGTAAGTTTTTCTGCCTCAATTACAGACCTCATCATAGGGAATAAAGAGATACTAAACTCAACTGAACTAATGGCTTAAGTTGATAACAGAGAAGCGTCACCGCATCCATCTGATCAATGGCTTATTCCCTCTGCAAAATATCATAAGCAAACAGAGAAGATGACAATTGTTACATTCTTTAAGTTTTGACCAGCTGGAATTTTGAATTTTATGGCTCTAGCCTCAAATATGCAAGTATTCAAGAACTTTCAATACTGCCATTCACCAAATTTGGCTATCACTGGCCTAGTCCTACACTGTCCTTCCTACATTCTGGTTACAAGAACTTGCCCTTATTGGAATGGCTTATACATTCCCATTTAGGTCCCATTGCTTTTCTTATCCATTTTCAAGATGTGGCTCCATCACCTGCTCTTTGAAGTCTTCCTGCCCCTTATCCATACACTATGTACCTGACAGCACTACTCATTTCCCTCACGTTCCTATGACATTTAGTTCAAACAGCTGAAGAAAATGTTCATAATAGCATCCAGTAGCTGCAATTTTTCCTTCTGTGAGGGGTTTCTTTATTTTGAAAGGTGTCTTACTAGGTTGAGCAGGATGGCCTGTAACTCCTGGGCTCAAGAGATCCTGTAACACAAAAAATAAAAGACCCAGAGACTGATATTGGGGTTCAAGCTGATGATCAGAAAAGGAAGACAGATAGCCACTATCTCTTGCCTCTAGCTCAGGCTGAAAGGCAATCCTGGCTCCACCAACCTCAGACTAAAATCCCAGACTGCTATGCTCTCTTCAAAGAGGCTGGATAATCATGAGACTCAATGTCTTTCTATCCTCAGTGTGGCCTGAGAACGAATGCCAGCTCTGAGACCCTGTTCCTGTCTTAAATAACTTTCACGAGTCCTGGGATCCCAAGTGTTGAGATCATCTTTGTGTGAGCTGTTTCTCTTTAGGACTGGATCAATTTCATGTAGCTCCAACTAACAGAGATCTTTGTACCACTTAATCCTAAATCCTAGGATTAAAGGTGTGTGCCTGTCTTCTATAGCTTGTGGCTGACTCTGCTCTCTGAATCCTCAGGCAAGCTTTAATAAATCATAAATAATATATCACCACAAGATCCTCCTTCCTCAATCTTTCCAGTAGCTGAGTCTATAGGTACACAGGAGCATGTCTATCTAAATATTATGTCTTCTTTTTTTCAGATTATTTTTTGTTTGTTTATTTATTCTTTTTCAAGTCAAGGTTTCTCAGTAGCTTTGGAGCCTGTCCTGGTACTCTGTAGACCAGGCTGGCCTCAAACTCACCAGAGATCCACCTATCTCTGCCTCCTGAGTGCTGAGATTAATGGCATCCGCCACCACCGCCCAGCTAAATGTATTTATATACTATCTATGTGTGTGTACACGTGGACCATGTATATGCAATGCCTGCAGACACTGGAAAAGGACATCAGATTCCCTCTGAAGCTGGAGTTACAGGTGATTGTTGGCTGCTCTGTGGGTGTTGGGAATTCATCTAGGTCCTCTGAAAGAGCAGCAAGTGCTCTGAACCACTGAGCCATCTTCCCAGCGCCATAAACTAAGTAACATTTAAATGTTCTATTTATTTATCTGTGGTATGTGTGGTTTTGATGTGCATGAGCATGTGGGGACCAGAGGTCTACACTGGTAATCTTCCACTATTATTCTTCACCTTATCTTTGAGACAAAGTCTCTTTCTGTGATGGTTAATCTTAATTTAAGGATGGGCCTCTGAGCATCTCTGAGGGGTTATCTTGATTAGATTAATTGAGGTGAGAAGACTCACCCACTGTGGATGGCACTATTCCCTAAACTAGGACCCTGGACTGGACAAAACCACCACCATTTGACTACTGATGCAATGTCTCCAGCCAATCCTCCTGCTCCTGTTGCTGTAGTATTCCCACAACAATGGACTGAAACTATTTTTTAGCACTCTGTTGTATGACTAACCCCAGATTAATTAATTAATTAATTAATTAATTAATTAATATATATATATATATTTGGTACTTCTGATTTTTGTCATTTTACATCGTATTTATACAGATTCTTTTTTTAACTATATGACAGGTTTATTAAGATACAATTCACATAGTATACAATTCATGTTACTGTGGTTTTTTTAGTCAGTTATACTCCTATCACCACAGTTTTAGTACAATTCCTTTTCTTTTCTTTTTTTCTTTTTTTTTTTTTTTTTTTCTTTTTTTTTTTTGTAAGACAAGTGTCCTGTTCCTCTTGCTCCCATATACTGAGTTCTGAATTACAGCAAGGCACCACCATACCCAGTTTTGTTTAGTTCTTGGGATTAAGCCCAGGGATCTGTGTATGCTAGGCAAACATCCTACAAACTAAGCCACATCTCTCCCTTAGTTTTTGGCATATTTTCCTATCTCTAAAAGAAATCCAGCTGAGGATGCAGCTTAGTGACAGAGTATTTGACTAATATTGGCAAGGCCCTGGGTTTGACTCTTAGCACTGAAAAAACAAAACAAAACAAAACAAAACAAAAAAAAAAAAAACAAAAACCCATATCTATTATCTATTACAATCATTTTCCATTTTCCCACCCTTACTTCTTAATCTTTTATTATGAATTTTTTTTCTCAGTTTTCCTTTGCTAATTACACCAATAGGGTCTTGGTTCTGTTTTGTTTTCTCTATGTAGCCCTGGCTGCTCTGGAACTTGCTGTGTAGACCAGGCTATCCTCAGACTTAGGGAGATCACCAACTTCTGTCTCCCAAATGGTAGGATTAATGCACCATCATGCCTGGAACACCAATAAATTTTAATTCTGGGCATGGTGATGCACGCCTAATCTCAGGACTTTGGCAATGGATTTAGGGGGGATCAGGAGTTCAAGAACAGCTTGGGCTACAAAAGCTCCTGCTTTGAAAGAACAAAACAACAAACAAGAAGGCTTGGTTTATTAAATTGAACTGTAAGGAAATAGGAGAAGAAGAATCTAAGAATACTGGAATGGGAATTCACAGGTGCTCACCTGCTGGTGATTAGGAAAATGTTCCATGGCCTTGAGCAGCAAATGGGTCACATCAGCGAGGAGCCGGACAGGCATGCCTAAAGCAAGGTCCTGCTTAGTTAAGTTAAACACACAGGCACTTGCAGCCAGTTGTACAGGCAAATTCATAGGATGGTTTCTCATCCCAGTAACCACAAGCTGAAACAAAACAAAACATTTAGTCCTCTTAATTCACCTCGTAAATACAAATCCTCTTCATATAATAAGGTTACACTATTGTTATAGAATAACTTCAAAGACATGTTTGTATGCAAAGCACCTAAGCCGTTATTATTCTCAATTCCAAAATTTCCCTTCCTTGACAGCGATGCCAGTTAGAATGCAATAAAATCCATCCATCCTCTCTCTGGACTAGATAACTATTCTTCACTTGTCTTCTTTCCCTTCTACAGTTCTCCCCATTCTTCAATTCAGCTGAAAACTTAGATTTGTTTAAAATGTATTATGTACATATGTGTGTATGTGCCTACAGAAACCAGAAGAGGGTGCCAGATCCCTCAGAACTGAAGTTACAGACCATTATTAGCTGCTGTGTGTGGGACATAAAACCCAGAGTTTCTCTGAACAGCAGCAAATGCTCTCAATTAACCACTGAGGCCTCTCTCCAGCCCTGGAAAACCAATCTTTCAATCACACTAAGAAAACTGAAGTAACTTGAAAAGAACTTCAGATTCTGACTAACCCATGTATTCTCATTACCAGAATAACAAAATATAAATGTCACCTTGCCAAACTACAAGTGATCTTTAGCAATCCTCTAAATCCCCTCCATAGCTATGCCAGATCTTTTCCTTGTTTCAGGAAAGGATTACTTCTATATCATTTTTAAAATCCTAGATTGGGAAGATGAGCATATTTTAAAAGCTATTCATTTATAAATAATGAGAAAGGGCACTGTACTTGCCTATAATTCCAGTATTGGGAGGCTGAGGCAGGAAGATTGAAGATATGAGGCCAAACTGGGTGACACAGCAAGATCCTGTCTGAAAAACAAAACTCTACTTATGTAAGTGGGCTTAGTCTTTAATCTCTAAATAAATTAATGAATATGTCAAATCAGGGCTAGAGATCTAGTCCTTTGTGCTCAGTTTTATAGAAACTAAAACTGGAGCTGGGCAACAGTGGTGCACACCTTTAATCCAAGCACTCAGGAAGCCGAGGAAGGCAGATTACTGAGTTTGAAGGTAGCCTGATCTACACAATGAGTTCCAGAACAGCCATGGCTACACAGAGAAACCCTACCTGGGAGCATGGGGGAGATGGTTGGTACAAAACTGGAAGGGGAAAAAAGACCAAGTACCAGCATCTACTGGTTTACATGAGTGACAGGCATTAGGGACAATAATAAAATGTTATAATTCCTACCCAAGCCCATTCAAAAATTTAAGATACCTAGGGTATCAAATCAATTATAGCTCTGCCACTGACTTATTGTTCCTTAATCCCACAGGCCCTCAGTTTCACAATCTATAAAATGGTAGATAAAATCCACCTCTTCAGATTGTACCCACTAAATGAAATATGAAATAAAGTCTTACATTCCTTAAATTTCAAAACTGATTGTGCATAAGAATAATCTGGGGCTAAAATATAGATTCTTGAGGCCCATGTAGCCTTATCAAATCTAAATTTCTTGTGTTCCTACTGCTGGTTATTATTTATGTCTGTGCTAGAGGTCAAACACAAGTTCTCTATCACTAAGCTATACGTTGGATGTAGCAAATATGCTCTTCTAACTACCCTCCATCTCTTTCTTGAGACAAGGTCTCAATTACATAGCCCTGGCCAGCCTAGAACTTGCTCTACAGACCAACTGGCAATGAATCAGAGATCTGCTCACATCTGCCTCAAAAGTGCCAGAGTTATGGCACACACACACACACACACACCTGACTTTAAATCTGTATTAAGACAAGGTATCCTTATTTTTCTTTTTAGTCTTTAAATTTATTTTACTTTCATTTATGTTTAGCCTGTGTGCATGAATGTGCACCACATGCATGCCTGTTGGATTACCTAGAACTAGAGTGATGAATGGCTGTAAGCCACCATATGGGTGCTAGGAATCAAACCTGGGTCTGAGCAACAAGTACTTTTAAGTGCTGAGCCATCTCCCCAGCCCCAAAGCTCTCATGAAGCCTAGGTTGTTCTCAAACCTGCTATGTAGCTCACTTAGGATTGAACTTAAAACCCTTCTACCTCAGCCTCTTGAATGCTAGAGGCTTAATACAACCATATCCAACTGAATATACACATGCCCATGCATGCCTCTGTGTGTGTGAATACTGAGGAATAAGCATTAGGGCCATGCATTTTAGGCAAATGCTCTACCAGTGAGCTATATCCCCCATTCCTTACTTTGTACATCTTTATTTTGAAACAAAGTCTTGCTATGCAGGTCAAATATGAACTTGTAGCCTTCCTGCATCTGCCTCCAGAGCAGCTGGGAATTACAGGCCAAATGTGTGTGTGTGTGTGTGTGTGTGTGTGTGTGTGTGTGTGTGTGTGTCTGTCTGTCTGATTGTCTGTCTGTCTGTCTGTCTATCTTAGGACAGAATCTCTAATCCCAGCATTTAGGAGGCAAAGGACAACCTAGTCTACAAAAGATGGGGATGTAGCTTAGTTGGATGGGGATGTAGCTTAGTTGTGGAACACTTGTCTAATATATGAAAAGCCTTGGATTTAATCCCAGTACAACAGAAAAATGAAAAAGAAATCTTCCTCATCTTTCAAAAACATCTTAATTGGTTAACACCATGGGTCTGTTACAAAAGTACAGGATATTTATAAACAGGATGGAAAAATACTTGGGTATGCATATCCATGTACCTGGAAGTCAGAGGAAGACTTTTAGCAGTCAGTTCTCTCCTTCTACCACGTGGGTTCTGGGGACTGAACTCACATCCTCAGGCTTGGCAGCAAGCTCCTTTAAGTGCTGGGCCATCTCACTGCTCCCCCCAACACTCCTTTTTTTGTGTCATACTAAGGGCCCTATATCCAGGACCACACATGTATGAGACAAGACTCTTAACAGTGGGTTACATACCCATATCTACATTAATAGAACCTTTTGTTTGTTTGAGACAAGGTCTCACTATGTAGACCAGATTGGCCTCAAATTTGAAAAGATCCATCAGCTTCTGCCTCCTGAGTGTTGGGATTAAAGGTATGTGTCACTGTACCTAGTTTAATGAACATTTTTTTTCCTTAGATAGGGTCTCACATAGCAGAGGTTTTCCTCCAACTCACTATGTTCAAGGATGCCCTTGAACTTGATTCTCCTTGTCCCTGTCTCCCAAGTACTAGGACTACAGGCATGTCCCACCATGCCCAGTTTATACAGTGTTAAGATGTTAAAACTTTGGTCGCATGCATCTTAGACAAGACTCTACCAACTGAGCGACATCCCTAGGCCCTACCTTATGGAAATCTTAGTTTGTTTGTTTGTTTTTCAAGACAGGGTTTCTCTGTATTGCTTTGGAGCCTGTTCTGGAACTACCTCTTGTAGACCAGGCTGGACTAGAACTAACAAAGATCCACTTCTCTGCCTCCCAAGTTCTGATATTAAAGGTGTGCGCCACCAACACCTGGCTGGAATCTTTGTTTGGGAGATGACTGTTGTATGTGTGTGAGTGGTATTACACTCATATTTGTGTAGAAACATGGAGACCAGAGAAGGACATTTTGTCATGCTGTGTAACATTCCACCTTGTTAGTTTGAGATAGGGTTTCTGGTGGCCAGCAAGCTCTTTTAATTCTGTTGCCTCCATCTGCCCCTAGCACAGGGGTTACAAGCCTACAAAGCCACACTGGCTTTTTAAAACATGCTATGCTAGGATTTGAACTTGGTTCTTCATGCTTGCCCACTAAATATTCTTTCCCAATGAGCTTTCTAGCCCTACCTTACAGAATCCCAATATTGTATTTCAAAAATGCTTCTGAGTGGGAAATAATACAAGGCTGATATACAATGACGTATACTGAGTCTATTCCTATACTTCCATTTTCATGCAATAAAACGTCACAGGGTTATTGGTCTGAAGTAACTAAACAGCACTGGAAAGCATTTATATTACTTAAAGAAACTACTATAAACTTCAGGAATGATATGGAATTAACTTATTTATATAATAACTGAAACTGGGATCATCGATCCCATTAAAAATAAAAAAGAAATAAAATACAAGTCAAAAATAAATACAAAAACCTACTAGAAAATTTTTATCACCAGTTTCTTGTTCTTACCTTTAAGATTTCTGGCTTTGTTTTTTCCATCACATGAGTCAGGCTAAAAAGATGAAACAAGGCTTCCCGAACAAAAAATGCTCTTTCACTGTACCGCCTTAGTGCTTCTGCAATTTGAGTTTCATTGGCTTCTCCAGACACCTTCGAACAGCCAGAAGATGAAGTGCTTAGAATTCTTTTCACCCTCTACCTTTCTCCATCTTAACATCAGCTGTAAAGATGGCATTCAGCATAACTAAGGTTTGAACACATGGGAACGATGACTTTCTAAGCCCCCACAGCCATCATCTCTAGAGATACATACTAGACTAAGAACCCTGTGATATTTTCTACACAGCACCTAGAATAAATCTCAAGACTTTCCATACTTCATCAAGCCTTGCTGTCTTACTGAGGCTTTTAAGCTGCCTCTTAGGGTAAAGTCTTTCCCTTAAGTCATAATGCTGTCAGGATCACTGGCCTTTCTCCATGATCTTTCAAAAAGCTAAGCTCTAGCTCAAAAGGTCATCAGATACAATGTCCACTCTAAAATTTTCTCTTTGCTTAACTAATGTGCACTTACCTTTCCTAAAGTCAATCCCATCTTTAGAAAAAGCCTTCCTGACACACCAATCTAAGTCAGGTTTTCCCCAAATTTCTTTTTCTTAGTTATCATACTCCTCCCACTTTACTGACCCATTTACCACTACGTGTTTATCAACAGTGACTAGCATAATGCATGACTCAGAAGGAACTTATTATGTATTCATCAAATAAACCTGTTGATTTCCCCAGACTGATCAAGCTTCATAAGAAGAATTACTCAAAACTGATTCTAACTTAACTTACACAGGTTAATATACTTAGGTTAATCTGTGGTTCAGGGAGTACTGTGAAACCAAACACAGTTAATAAGAAGTGACACTATAAAGTAATCAAACTAGCAAGGGAAAAAATGATTGCCAGACATGGTGGTGCATGCTTTTGATCCTGGCAAACTTGGGAGGCAGAGGCAGGTGGATCTCTGTGAGGAGTTCTAGGCTAGCCTGATCTACAAAGCAAGTTCCAGGACAGACTCCACCCTATCTTAAAAAACAAAAAACAAACAAACAAAAAAGATTAAGTTACAGGGCTAGTGAGATGGCTCAGTGGTGCAGGTGCTTGCAATGCAAGCCTGGTGACCTGAGCTGGATCCCTGAAACCCAAGCACACACACATGTATCATGCATGTACAGACACATATAATGACTATTACATCATACTGATCTCCAATGAATAATGAGATCTAGGTACTGTACAATCCCAGTGAATTAATAATCTGATACTGAACATGTTACAGGAAGACTAACATGCACAGCCCAGTCAAAGAGTACAAGGGTCTTACCAAAGAGATCAAACCTTAATTTAACTAAACTCCAAACCCAGCTAGTAATTTTCAGAAAATATAGGAATGGTGGTTCAAAACTGAATCACAATTTAGGAGGTTGAGGCAGGAGAATTATTAAGTTCAAGGCCAGCCTGAAATACAAGGTAAGTACCGGGTCAGTCAGCATGAGATACAGAAAGACCCTATCCCAACTCCTAATCCTACAAAAAAGATAGAAAGAAACATGGACCATGAACATGTGTAGCCAAATTTCTAAATTCTACTCTGAAGAAAACTCTAAAAGTAAAAAAAACTGTTTTTTGTTTCCAGTAAACCAGTTTCGTTTTTGACAGTCTCACTATGTACTACCCTTGGCTGGCCAAGAACTCTGTGTAGACAGGCTGGCTGTGAACACAGTTATCCACGTGTCTCTGCCTTCCGAGTGTTGGGATTAAAGGCATGCACCACCAAGCTGGACCAGTAGACACATTTAAAGGAAAAGAAAGGAAGAAAGGGCCTATGAGATAATGGGTAAAGGCGCCTGCCATCAAGCATGAAAACCTGAATTTAGTTCCTGGGACCCACACAGAAGAACCTCCTGCTAGTTGTCCTATGACCACCACACATATACTATGACACATATACATAAATGTAATTGTTTTTGGGAGGGGGGTTGATTTTGTTTTATTTTTTGAGACAGGGTTTCTCTGTGGTTTTGGAGGCTGTCCTAGAACCAGCTCTTGTAGACTAGACTGGTCTTGAACTCACAGAGATTCCCCCTGCTTCTGCCTCCAGAGTGTGGAGATTAAAGGCGTGGGCCATCACTGCCTGGCTAAAATGTAATCATTTTTTAACTTTAAAAAAAGAGAGGAAGGAAGAAAAGAGAGGGTTGCTGGATGTGGTATATGCCTTTAATCCTACTAATTAAGTGACAGAGGCAGAAGAATATCTTGAGTTCAAGGTCAACCTGATCTACACAGTGATACCTTGACTCAAAAACAATAAAAGGAGTGCAGGAAAATGACCATAAGATTACATGCCTTTAAGTCCAGAATGTGGGAGGTAAGTGGATCTCTGTGAGTCTAAGACCAGGCATGGTACATAGTGAAATCCTGTCTCAACCTGGGTTTGACTCCCAGCACCATACATACAGTTTAAAAATCTAAAAATTAAAAATGAAAAGGAAGAGGAGGAGGAACCTATAAACTACAAGATGCTGTGAAGACACTCCAGGGATGGAATGCTGCCTCAGCGGTTAAAAGAGCATATTGTGCTGGGTGTGGTGGCACACACCTTTGATTACAGCACTCAGGAGGCAAAGGCAGGCCTCTGTGAGTTCAAGGACAGCCTGGTCTACAAAATGAGTTCCAGGACAGCTAGGACTGTTACACAGAGAAACAATGATGTTCTAATGACCCTTTGTTTTGAGTCAGGTCCTTGCCACATAGCCTAGGCTGGCCTCAAACCCTCCTGTCTCAGTCTCTTATGCTACCTATGATTCATACACATGAAACAGCATGCCTCACTTAGTTTTAAGACTATTTTAAAATTTACTTATGTTTATGATTTTGTCTGCATGTATGTCTGTTTACTACATGTGTCTCTAATGCCTGTGAATGCTTGATGACACCAGATCCTCTGGGACTAGTTACAGATGATTGTGGGTGTGCTGGGGGTTGAACCAAGGCCAGGTCCTCTGGAAGTACAGCCAGTGCTTTTAAATGCTGAGTCATCTATCTCTCCAGCCCAAATATTTTAAAACATTAGTATTGTATCATTACTATTAATATTATTGGAGACAGGGCCTCACTAAATAGTCCCAGTTGGCCTGGAATTCTGTATGTATACCAGGCTGGCCTCAAATTCAGAAATCTGTCTGCCTCTGCATCCAGAGTAAGATTAGAGGTAAACACTCTACCAAATCAACTCCATCCCCAGACCCCACTAGACTTTTTGAGACAGGATCTTTCCTTGCAGCCCTTGATGCCTGGAACACATAGAAATCCACCTTCCTCTGCCTCCATGAGTGTTTGGATTAAAAGCTTTCACTACACTTGGCCCCACTGGACTTTCATTTGGTACTATTATCCTAATACAAGCCTTTCTACTATACAATGATTTCCCATGCCTTGTTTCATATATTAGACATTTATCCTAATGAAGTGTTGTGGAACTAAAAAGTTGACCAGTCAAATAAAATACATTTTTAAGAGCTAACCTTCAAGTGTCCTTTGCCTGTGAGGAATTCAGAATAACCAGCATCTGTGGCCAGCAAACCCACGAACTGCATGCTGGGTCGCTGCTGTATAAAGGCTTCAACAGCTTTATCTGTCACATGTTTTCTCCCTGAAACATCCAGGGAGACAAGACTGGGCAAGATGTCCTTTTGCTCTAGTAACCGTAGGGCTATGTCTGATGTAAACTGTTTATCATCTGAGATATCAAGATGGTTTAGATGTTTCAGTTCCCGAACAACATCCAGGATCTGGGTAGTAGTCATTTTTAAACATTTCAAATGGTGCATGGTGAGAGACTTCAGTCGGTCTTTGCAGGCCAGCAGAGCAGTGATATCTGTGATTGAGGTGTTAGAAATATCCAGGCTCTCCAGTCTAGGCAATGAAGCAACTTCAGCCAGATCTTCATTGTAAAAGAGCACATTAGTGATGCTCAGAGCTCGAAGACCAGAAAGCCGGCTGAAACACCGCTCATAAGGATCCTCGAGGGACAGAGTTAATGAATTTAGTACCAAGCACTGAAGATTTTGCTGGATCCACTTATTACTGCCAAGGCCACTTATGATATCTGTGATAGTGATGTCAGCATTCACACCTGTGGCATCAAGTTCTACTAACTTATGGTGGCAGAAGGCTTTCCGGAAAGCAACAGCAGAAATCTTTGCTTTGCGAATGCAAGCTCGCTTTAGGCGCATCTGGTTACCCCTGAATATCCCCACAGTTGCATCATTCAGCAAACCTAGGGAAAAATAAACAGTATTTTAACTTCAACAACAACAACAAAAAAAAAAAAAACCCAAAAACCACAATTTAACTTCAAAAACCAAAACATTTGTTTCTCTTCACCCTAGGAGGCACACAGGCACTTGTACTTTCCAGCACTTTCTTACAATTAGATAGGACCACAAGCTAGATATAGTCAAGGAGCTGCAGGCTTAAGCACCTGAGAGTCAACTGTGAGTCCCCACACTCTCTTCTCCTTCTGTGACAAAGGAGAAGGCTTCAAGTTCTGGAGATGTAGTGTTATGGGGGCTGGGTCTCTATCAATCTGGATACTAAAGTGACCAAGGGAGAGAATTTTCAATGGACTCTGCAGAGTTTACATATGAGTGAGGTTTAAATTTTACACTACTATATTCTTATCAATATATTTCTTACATTTATAAAAATAAACACAATATATTTAGTAGACATAATGGCTAGAATTCATTATTAAACCTTTTGCCAGAGCTGGGTATGATGGCACACACCTTTAATCACAGCACTCAGGAGGTAGGGGCAGGCAGATCTCTGTGACTTTGAGGCTAGCCTTATCTACACAGTCAGCACTACACAGAGAGACCTTGTCTCAAAACAAACAAAAAAGCCCACTAGCCAGATTTGAAACCTTTTTATTTTGGGTTATTTATTTATTTATTTATTTATTTATTTATTTATAGACAGGTTTCTCTGTTTAACAGCCCTGTCTGTCCTAGAACTTGTTTTGTAGACCAGGCTCGCCTCAAACTCAAAGAGATCTACCTGTCTCTACCTCCCCAGCGCTGGGATTAATGGCGTTCTCCACCACTGCTGGGCCCTACATTTATTTATTTACTTATCTATTCCTTATTTATTTCTTATCTATTGCGTGTATGTACCACCATACCCTGCTCGGCTCAGTTTTTAGATTTTTAAAAATTGCATTTATTTATTCATGTGTATGCAAATGTCTGCTCATGGCATGTAATGAGTGTGGAGGTTAGAGGACAACTTTGTGGAGTTAGTTCTTTATTTTCACAAGAATCCCTAGAACAGAACTCAGATCTAAGACTTGGTGGTAATGCTATCCAGTAAGCCATAATACCAGCTTCTGGTATATTTTTGTTGTGGTAGAATATTATTTTAAGGTGTGTGACTTTTGTTTATGCTGGATTTGTTTATCTCTGTGAAGCTGTGTTGCGGTGCCTGTCTAAAATACCTGATGGTCTAATAAAGAGTTGACTGGCCAATATAGAGGCAGGAGCAAGGACAGGCAGGGCTGGCTGGCAGGCAGAAAAGTATAGAGGAGCAACGAGAAGAAGAGGGAGCAACAGGAGAACAAGGAGAACATCAGGGGCCAGCCACCCACAGAGTAAGAAGAAAGAAAAGGTATACAGGAAGAGAGAAAGATAAAAGCCCAGAGGGAAAAGGTAGAGGGGTTAATTAACTAAGAAAAGCTGAAGCCAGGTGTTGGTGCATGCCTTTTAACCCCAGGTAGATCTCTGTGAGTTCGAGGCCAGCCTGGTCTACAGAGATAGTTCCAGGACAGGCTCTAAAGCAATACAGAGAAAGCCTGTCTCGAAAAAACAAAAGAAAGAAAGAAAAAAGAAAAGAGGAAAGAAAGAAAGAAAGAAAGAAAGAAAGAAAGAAAGAAAGAAAGAAGAAAAGCTGGCTAGAAACAAGCCAAGCTAACACTGGGCATACATAACTAAGAGTAGGCCTCCATGTGTGATTACTTGGGAGCTGGATCGTAGGGGCCCCAAAAAAGTACAAGAATAAAACATAGCACAATATTTTGTTGTTGTTTTTGAAACAAAGTCTTACCCTGTGTCTCTGAATAGCCTCAAACTTGTAGCCAGTGCTTGAAACCTTATTGAAAAGACACACACTTGTGATCCCAGCACTGGAGAGACTGAGGCAAGAAGATCATTGTGGGTTCACTACTTAGTTAAACCTTTAAGCACACACACCACAAAACTTAAAAGTAAAAAAGGGTTGGGTTTTTTTGCCTTAAGAAAGAGGGAAAAAACACACAAGCAAACCAAGAAATTATAGGCCAAATGCAAAGTAGAAGTCTCCTAGAAATGACCAATCATGCTAGGCAATGGTACATGCCTTTAATTCCAGCATGAAGGTGGGGGGGGGGGGGTCTCGGAGTTTGAGGCCAGCCTGATCTATAGAACTACTTCTAGGACAGCCAGAGCTACAGAGAAACCCTGCCTTGGGAAAAAAAAATACAAAAACAAAACAAAAAGACACCTTGGAGCCATATCTCAAAAATATTACATACCAGCTGGGTGCTAGTGGTGCGTGCCTTTAATCCCAACACTCAGGAGACAGAGGCAGGTGGATTTTGTAAATTAGAGGCCAGCCTAGTCTACAAGAGCTAGCTCCAGGATAGCTAGGGCTATACAGAGAAACTCTGTCACAAAAAATAAATAAAATAAAAATAAAAAAATACATACCAAACAATACCTACTAAGAAAGAAGTGCCATACCTATAATATGTACTCTAAGAACAGTCTGTGGCTGCAAGCATTTGGGGCAAGATAAATACTATGAGATTAAAAGAACTTTCATGGTCACATCAGCTAGTCCATACTAATGATGCTGCTGTTCAAGCTGCCACACAGCCATTATCAAATCAGAACTAAGGCATTTTTCTCTGAGAGCTGTTGCTAAGTGATGAAACACTTATCCATCATGTTCAACGCTTAATCATTGTTAGACATTTAAAAATCTTCATGACAGTTGTCACACTGAACAAAAACTGAGTCAATCAAGCACAGGGACCAAGTCTGGACACCTAGAGTTGCAATAATACAACCCTTTCTCAACAATGCATCTTGCAACCCACTGGCAACCTGGGAATCCTACACACATCTGCACTGGGCTGCACATAAGCCTGCTTTAACAATGAAAACAAGTTACTCTTCTTAGCAATCCCCTTAATAACCAGCTCCACCTTCCACTAAACTCATAAAGTAAAGGCCCAAACAGTAACCAAGGCCCTTCAGTACTCTCCCAATCAGGTGGTCCTCTGTCTCTCTTGGTAGTGACTTTCGTTTTGCTATAATGAATCTTACTTTTTGTGTGTATATCTTTTCCAAGTTATGTGGACAAGCTACCACAAACTAGAAAAAAAAAAATACACTAAGGCAAGAGATTAAGAGCACTTGCTCTTGCAGAGGACCTGAGTTCAATACCCAGGACACACATGGTGGTTCACAACTATCTCTAAGGCCAGTTTCTAGGAAGCCCACATTCTCCTCTGGCCTCTGAAGGTTACAGGCACACAAGTTATGTACAGTAACAGCAAAGCTGGGGGATGGGGGAACAGTAGCAGCGCTTGCCTTTAACCCCAGCACTTGGGAGGCAGAGGCAGGCAAATCTCTGAGTTCAAGATTAGCCTGGTCTACAGAGTAAGTTCCAGAACAGCCAGGCCTATATAGAGAAATCCTGTCTCCAAAACCCCAAAAACAAATTTAAAAATCCCAGCAACAGAAAAGAAATAAAGCACACTTTTTTTTTTTTTTTTTTTTTTTTTTGAGATAGGTTTTCATGTAGTGCAGACTGAACTCAAACTCACTCTGTAGGTAAGGATGACCTTGAATTCCTGATTCTCTTGCCCCAGCCTCCCAAAGGCTGGTATTACAGGCATGTGCCAACACACCTAGCTTTTGTTTATGTATTTATTCTGGAGTGTATGTGCACCACACACTGTCACATGGGGAGTACAGAAGACAACTGGTGCCAGTCTCACCATGCTGCTCTGTAGAGCTGAATTCAACTTTGGTTGGCAGCAGGTCCCTTTACCCACTAAGCTATCTCATGGGCCATCACACATGGCTTTTTTTGTTTTGTTTTTGAGACAGAGTTTCTCTGTGTGGCTTTGTAGACCAGGCTGTCCACAAACTCACAGAGATCAGCCTGTCTCTGCCTCCCAAGTGCTGGAAACTAAAGGTGTGTGCCACCACTGCCCAGCTCACACGTAGTTTTTTAAAACAAACTTTTAACGCCAGGCATTGGTGGCGCAAGCCTTTAGTCCCAGCATTAGGAAGGCAGAGGCAGATGGACTCTCTGAGTTTGAGGCCAGCCTGGTCTACAGAGCTAGTTCCAGGACAGGCTCCAAAGCAATATCGAGAAACCCTGTCTCTTACTTTAAATATATATATACTACTTATTCTAGTTCCTGTGTTGCAACTTAGGCAATCCAGTGAAAGCAAATATAGACATTTCCTTTTCTAAATTATACCCAATAATTTAATTATAGCTCCATTTCCCTTGTTCTTTGGAAAGCATAATCTGCATTCACACCTAACAACATTTTTCTTTCTTTTTTTTTTTTTTACAGTTAATATGGGTAGGGGTGGGAAAGTATGGGCTAAGGCCAGAAGAGGTTTTCAAGTGCCCTCTTCTACTATTCTTAAATCTTCTTTCTATGAGACTGGGTCTCTTATTGAACCTGGACCTAATGATTCATTCCTCCTTTCCTTTCCTTTCCTTTTTTTCCCCTCCCTTTCTTTCCAGTCAGGCAACAGTGATCTTTTTGTCTTTATCCTTTACCAATCTTGAGTTCAAGGCCAGCCTGGTCTATAGAGTAAGTTCCAGGACAGCCAAGACTACACAGAGAAACCCTGTCTTGAAAAACAAAAACAAAAACAAAAAAACAAAAAACAAAAAACAAACAAACAAAAAAAAAAAACAGAAAAGAGTCAAAAGCAGAAACCAGTTTTTTCTCTAATAGTATGATTCTCCCACTGTCAAGAGAAGATGTAAGGTACTTCTATACCTGCTGACTTCTATGTAGAAATACTGTAGTTTGAGAAGTTCCTTGTGACCTAAGAATCCCTTGTTAGGTCTTGGAGAGATGGCTTGGTGATTAAGAGCATTTGCTATTCCCATAGAGGGCCAGTGTTCAGATTCCAGTGTCCACATAATGGTTCACAACCAAGGCTAACTCCAATTCCAAGGGGTCTGACACTATCTTCTGATCTCCACTGGCACCAGAAATGAATGTACATGGTACATATACATACATGCAGGCAAAACACTCATCCACATAAAATAAATAAACTTAAATTATATATATGTGTGCGTGTGTTTTAAGTTGCTTCTTAAATCAAAAAAGAAAAATAATGGTTTGCCTAGATTGGAAAGGGGAAAAAGAAATCATTAAATCTGAGGCAAAAACAGGTAAAAATAACTGAATTCCTTTTCCTAGAATCTGGTTCATCTGACTTTTTCTACTATTTCTAAGAAAATAATTAAATGAGCCATGGTAGTAATTTAAAATCCAATGCCAATTAAGAACACACAATTTGTCTCTTCCATTTTTCATCATTTACCATGAAATGCCATGGTCTGAAGCAGTCGATCAGCTACCTCCTGTGGAAATACGCCAGGTTCCTGCAGACACAGTGTTCCATCTTGTCTTGCTGAACAGAACTTCTCAAGGTTAGTGGTCAGGAAACTCAAGCAGATGTCAAGTAAGGAATAGGGAGATGCTTCCTCCTTGGAACACAGGAAGGAACATAAAAGGAACACACACAAAAATAAACAAATTAGTTTCTAAAAAAAGCAGAGAATAAAACACTTATTTACTCATTCAATAAGTATTTACTACCTATGCGACAGACAATGAATACTGTGACAGCAATAGATACCATGTAAGGCAGTGGGATACAATCTCTAACGTGCATTTCAGAAGCAAGAGAACACAAGTCCTGAACCCAATCTCCACACAGTCCCTTAAGTACTACAAGGGGGAATACACTGGGTATGTGTAAACACACAGCAGGTTCTAACCAGTCAGAGGCAGACAGGAGAGGCCTCAAGGAAGAGCAGATCAGTCTTCTTAAGTCATCACTGTGATACCCTAATCAGGTCTTTATAGGCTCTCACACTAAAGACAGCATTCTTTTTTCTTTTGAGACAGGGTCTCCCTGTGTACCCACCTCTGGCTGGATTGGAACTCATTATGTAGACCAGGATGGCCTGGAAATCACAGAGGTCCACCTGCTTCTTCTACCTCTGGAGTACTAAGGCTAAAGATGAGCACAGCCACAAAGACAACATTCTTTAACTGTTGACTTTCATATCTGAATCCTTCTGTGTTGGCTAGTCTTATATCCACTTGACAAACAAATCATAGTTATCTGAATGGACAGAACCTCAATAAAAGTGGGAAAGATTTATTTTAGCTCACAGTTCCAGATTTCAGTACATTTACACATATACATGTCTACATGGGTACATCATAGAAGGTCAATCAAGATGTCAGGAACTTAAAACAACTGCTCACATTACAACTACAATCAACAGCAGAGATGAGTCATACACATTTGGTGCTCAATTACTCTTCTTCATCCTTACACAGCTTAGGACACAAAGCCAGACAACTGTGCCACCCACTTTTAGGCTGAGTGTTCCCATATCTATGAAGGCAAGACAGTCCCCCAAAGACAAGCCCACAGGCCAACCTGAAATGACAATCTGTCATTGAAATTCTTGCCTGGTGATTTTAGATTGTGTCAAGCTGACAAATAAATTAACACATCTTCCTGTTCCATCAAATAAGGTCTGTTTGTTTGTTTTTTCTAGACAGAGTTTCAATTTTTGTAGACTAGGCTGGTCTTGAACTCATATAGATTTGCCTGCGTCTATACCTGTGTAGGCAGGTATATGGGTATATGGGTAAATGGGAGCACATGCAAAGTGCACACACAGAGGTCAGGACATCTGTCTTAGTCACTGTCTTACTGCTGTGAAGAGATGACCAAAGCAACTCTTCTAAAAGAAAGCATTTAATTGGGTCTTGCTTACAGTTTCAGAGGTTTAGTTCATTATCATCATTATGGTAAGAAGTATGGCGGCACACAGGAAGACATGGTGCTGGAGAAGGAGCTGAGAATTCTATACCCTGATACATAGGCAGACACACACACACAGTGCCTGGCATGGGCTTTTGAAACCTCAAATGACACACTTCCTCCAATGACCCTTCTAATTCTTCTAAGAGTTGGTTCTCTCTTTCTACACATGGGTCCCAAGGACTGAACACAGATCAGGCTTTGTTCCTTTATACGCTAAGCTATTTTGACAGTCTTTGTTTTGTTTGAGATAAGGTTTCACTCTGAAGTTCAAGTTGTCCTTAATTCATAACATCTGCCTCAGCCTCCAAGAAATAACAATCCTGATGTTGAGGTACCCTGCCTGGCTTAATTTTGTTATTATTGTTTGTAGTGCTGGGGATCAAACCCAGGGCTTTTTTATGCTAAGTAAACTATCACTAAGCTACAGCAGCTGTTTATTTTCTAAAGATTGGGTAAGAAATCAGGTAACTTAAAAACAACTTTACCATAGAAATTATTGATTTATTATTTTTATTTTAGTGACTGGGGTGGGGGTGGGGGGGTGGGGAGTGCTTAAAACTGACCTAGAGGCCAGTGAGCCTGAGTTTGATCTCTGGAAAGCATGTGGTAGAGAGCTGACCCCTGACACATTGCTCTGTGACCTCCACAATCCCACTGCATGCAGCACTCCTCATTCCTTCCAACTAAAGAAATAAACGGAAAACATCATTTAAAAATTATTTATTATTACAATTTGTTTTTGTTTTTTTGAAACACGGTTTCTCTGTTTAACAGCTCTGGCTGTTCTAGAACCAGCTTTGTAGACCAGGCTGGCCTCTAACCTACAGAGGTCTGCCTCCCTCTACCTCCCAAGTACTAGGAATAAAGGCGTGCACCACCATACCTAGTTTATAATCTTGATAATTTCATTTTTTTTAAATCTGTATTTGTGTTTTGTCTACATGTATGTATATGCATGACATGTATACCTTATGTCCACTGAGGTCAGAAGAGGGCGCTGGATCCCCTAGAAGTTATGGGCCATCATGTGGGTACTAGGAACTGATCCTGGGTCCTATGTAGCAGCAGTCAGTGCTCTTAACCACTGAGCCATTTCTCAGCCCCATCTTTCATTTTAAGGATTTATTTTTATTGATACGTATGTATCTATGTGAACATGTCCCATATCCGTGGATGCCTGAGGAAGCCAGAAGGTATTAGAGCTGAAATGAAATTAAAGGTGATTGTCAGCTGCCTGATGTGAGTACTGGGGATGGAACTCAGATCATCTAGAAGAACAGCAAACACTCTTATCTCCTCTGAGCCATCTCTCCAGCCTACATTTAACTTAAAAAAAAAAAAAAAAAAAGACTAGCCTGGAACTCTATGCAGCTCAAGTTGGTGTCAAACTTTCAATCTTCCTGCTTCAGCTTCCTAAGCCCTAGGATTATAGGTGCATATCATTACACTTGGCTGTGAAATTCCTTTTGTATTAACACTGTAGGACTGAGTAATATCTTGGACTTGTGACTCTAGTTGTCTGGATTAAAATGACATTTACAAAACTATGAAAAACGTATTAGGTAAAGGACTTAGTCTTCCTGTACTTCAGTCCATGATCTAAAAAAAAATGCAGATAACAGTACTTACCTTATGGGACTGTTGTCAGAAATAACTATACTCTAAATGCAGAACTCTGGAAGTAGTGCCCAGCATGCACTAACTGCTGAGTCAGTGCTTATTATAGAATGTAAGTTCTACCAGGGGAAAAAAATGTTTTGTTCACTGATAGTCACAAGCCTAAAATAAAACCAACTACATCATAGCAACAAACATGCATTAAAAGTGAGTCGTGAAGCACAAATTTACTGTTGGGTGTACTTTACTCCTAGAGAATGAGACGACATACCCAGAGATATTAAGTCACAAGGTTAGAACTGAAATTAAAGAATGGAACTAAAAGGCAGACAAGCATCACCAAAGCACACACATTCCCATTTTGACTTCCTACCACCATACTTCATGAGAGAGCACCTCTTGACTTATGGATTTTTGTTTCTTTTGCAGTGCCAAGATTGTACAAGTATAGTGTCACTGAGCTACAGCCCCCCCCCACCATTATTTTTCTACCAATAATTCCACCAGGTCAGACTTCTAGAAATAAGCCACCTGATACCAAATATAATCAAATCCTCCACTCTACCCTTTCTGACATCTTACAAATGAGGAAGTCAATAAAGTATTCTCAAGGACACAGGTGATAACATCCTCAGAACACAGATATTAGGGCTCTGCAATTAACAGCACTGGCTGCTCTTCCAAGGGATCTGGGTTTGATTCCCAGCATCCACATGGCAGCTCACACATTTTTTTTTTTCCTTAAGGTTTATTTATTGTGTTTACAATGCTCTGCTTACATGTCTGCTTCAACACCAGAAGAGGGCACCAGACCCGATTACAGATGGCTGTAAGCCACCATGTGGTTGCTGGGAATTGAACTCAGGACCTTTGGAAGAGTAACCAGTGCTCTTAACCTCTGAGCCATCTCTCCAGCCCTAGCTCACACATTTGTAACTACAGTTCTGGGAATCCAACACCCTCACACAGACATGCATACAGGCCAAACACCAACCCACAATTTTAAAAATACAGATATTATGAAGTGCTGGACATACAGGTTTGTATTTGTGTTTTGTGCTGGGGCTCATACACAAGATCTTTTGCTTGTTTGTTTGTTTTTGAGATACAGTCTCATACCCCCAGGCTGGAGGTGAATTTAAAGAGGCCCCCTGCCTCTCTGCGTGCTAGGATTAAAAGTGTGTGACTTCTTAACTGGCTCAAACCCAGAGTCTTGTCTCATCCATGCTTCTCAAATGCTCTACTGCTAAGCTATATCCTCAGCTGTTTTCTAAAAGAAATTACTAATTACTCTTTGGAAACTCCTAGATTATGACTTAAAAACAGATAAAGCAATTTTTCTGCACGCACCACTTCAAAACCTAGCCAATATGGCAAGTCGCTAAGTGCTAAAGGGCAAGGAGGTAGAGTTCTACCTAAAAAGATCAAGGTCTCAAATGGTAATCAATTCCCTCCCTGCTTCCTTCTTAGGTCATGTAATAAAGCTATTCTAAGAAACAAAAATTTAGGCCAGTAATCACTGAGCATTTATGGATCATACTGAGTGGTAACACAGAGATGCCTAAGTATTATTTCCTTCTTAGCCACAAACTGGAGTTCTGAAGTACAATATAGTTCACAGACACAGGTTTAATAATGTAAGAGCAGTCATGGTTCATAGTTTCCTGGCTTTGCTACTTACTAGCTATGTGGTCCAAGGAAAAGCAATTAAAGTCTCAGTTACCTTATCTGAAAAACTGAAGCTAGACTTCTATCTTATAAGATAGGAGTATGGAACAGAAGGGATTTATGTAAAAACCAGCTCTAAAATATTAAAGTAAGCTATGCATGATAGCACACACCTGTAATCCTAGCAATGACAAGGTCAGACAGAAGGACTGGGCAACACAGCAGGTTTAAAGCCATCTAAAGCTACATAGTGAGTGTAATTCTATAAAAAAAAAAAAAACCCAAAGGCTGTCTGTGTAGCACCATGGTAGGGCATATCCCTAGCATACAGTAGGCCCTGGATTCAATTCCAAG